GTCGGGCGGGGCGGGGGGAGCGCGGGGTTCAGCCCGGGCCTGTCTCTTGCAGGGAGATGCTGGAGGGCGAAGAGCTGCGTCTGGGCTGTCTGGTCCCGCCGTGACGGGACAACCGGCCCCGCTGCGGGACCTGGCGCTGCCGGGACCCGCCAGACCCCGCGCCTGGGCCCCCAGACCCCGGACTTCTGCGCCTCGGGGTCCCCTGAGCCCCCACTCGCCCGCGCCTCGGGATCTCTGCCCCCGGACGCCCAGGCCACGGGACCCCCGGACCGTCTGGACCCCTCTGGACTCCCGGAGCCCTGGTCCTTCTGTCCCCCTGTGCCATGGGCCCCCCGGACTCCTGGGACTCCCGGCTCCCCGGGCTCCCCAGACCCCCGCCCCGGGAGTCCCCATCCCCCCAGGAGGGCGGCGCTCACGGGGCCGCACACTCTCACCAGCCTCTCCGGAGCAGCAGCGGGGCTGTGGTCCCGGCCCCAGCCCGCGCAGAAGCACCTCAATAAAGCCCCGTGGCATTACCCGGAGCCGGCCCGTCTGTGGTGGTGGGGCAGTGTCCGCTGGCCAGGCCCTATGGCAGTCTGGGGGCAGCGACTCCGTGGGAGACTGGGTGCCAGGGCCATGTCCCGTGGGGGCTGCCTGGCTGCGGGGTCTTTGTTCCCTCCTGCCTGGCTGCAGCCCCTCGCCCCCAGGGCTGGTCACCCCGCAGGGATCCTGAGTGGGGCACGCCATGTGGGCCTGGAGGGGACTGTGCCCCAGTGGGAGCTGAGTCTTCCCAGTGCTGGTGGGTGGTCCCTGACCCCTCCCTGCCATGGCTGTGTCCTGCCCAGGGACCAGCACTCCTTGGATTAGGCAGGGATCCTGCATCCCAGAAGGTGGGGACAGGGTGCTGTCCCCCAGAGCATGTCCCCTTGGTGTAGGGCAGCAGATCCACACTGGGTACCACACCTGGGGCTGGGAACGTAGCCCTACTGCAGACCCCAGAAAGGAGGCAGGTCTAGCGGGGTTGATGAGGAATAAGGGGGTTCAGGGTGCCCAGGCAGACAGTTGGCTAAGGCTGTGGGGACCCCCCAGCCAGGACAGGGCTGGGTACGGCCACTGACCTGGGCTGTCCCCAGCTGGGCTGGAGCGTGTGTGCGTGTGAGTGTGTTACATGTCTAGTTTCAGCCATGCGTGAGGACCCCATGGGCCGAGCCCAACACCACAGGGAGCAGAGGCCCCTCAGGGAGCTGTGGGGCAGCAGGGGCCTTGCACAAGCCTGTGACACCCCCAACATGTGACAGAGTCCAGTCTGGGCACCTTGAGCAGAAGGGTAGGGCAGGCAGGAGCCCTGCCTGTGCTGTGCCCATAGAGGCTGGGTGCCAGAGGGCCCAGCACCCCCACACAAAGAGGTTTGTTGTAGTAAAGTCAAGCACAGCTCTTTATCAGGGGTAAAAAGCCTCTTCCAAACTATACAAGAATACGTGAAGGTCGGTGTTGGCTGCCTATGGCTGCCACACCTGGGGGGTGCCCCCATGCACAGGGAGGGGCAGCAGGGTAGGGGATGGGTGTGAGGGGGAAAGGGCTCTCGGGGTGGGGTGTCAGCGTGCTCGGAGCTGGTGCTGCTGGGCTGCATCGACGTCCTGCCAGGCGCTCCAGGGGCTCCAGGTGGGGTTGGCATAGGGGTCCTGGCAGCTGATGCGCACTCGCTGTGCATGGTCCTGCGTCCATGTCTCCTCCATGCCCTCCACGTACTTGTTAACCTGCAAAGTGGGGCAGGTCGTGGCATCAGGGAGCACCCTGGCACTGGGGCTGAAGGCAAAGCTGTGGGGAAGGGGGGACAGAGCAGGAAGCAGGTCGTGGGGGCTCAGGAGTGGGAGACATCGGCATCTCCCCAGCTCAGACAGTGCTGCTGCCTCGAGTGGGCAGTGCTGGAGGTGGGAAGCAGAGGTGACAGCCAGGAGTGACAATTCAATGCCCCAAGGAGAGAAGCAGAGTAGAGGGGAGGGGGCTATTGCTGAGCCCCCAGAAAGTCCGTGTTCCCAATGGCATCCCTGAGTGGAAGAAAGAGTCCAGGCTGGGAACTGGGGCAGGGATGGGGTGGGCACAAGGCAGGGTGGGCATAGGGCAGGGTGGACACAGCAGAGCAAGGACGTAGGGTGGCACGTGTAAGGGCAGGCTGGACATGGGCATCCTGCAGTTACCTGGGTGCCATTGGGGAGCTCGTACTGCAGCCGGTAGAGCAGGGCGAAGTAGGACTTGGGGAGTGGCCAGGAGGCTGGGGGGGCCCAGGCCAGGTGGAGCTGCTCCCCGTGCCGCTGCACAGTCAGCTCCTGCGGTGGGTCGGGCCGCACTGTGGGCAGAGCAGGACTCAGCATGGGGCAGCTCTGCACAGCCCTGGGGCTGAGCCCTCCCACAGGGCTCCCAGCGCCCTGAGGACCTCCCCACTGGTCTGAACTCACCAATGTCACGTACGAAGAAGCGGATGGAGAAGTTGAGGTAGGAGGTATCTGAGAGCCCCTCCAGGTGCAGCTGCAGTGGCTGCAGCTCCTCAGCAAAGGGGCAGAAGGAGGGGTCTGCAAAGCTGGCACTGAACCGGCCACGGCGGCCGACTGCTGGCACCCACTCCCCCAAGGAGCCGTCGCTGCAAGGGGGAGGCAGATGTGAGACCTGGGTGGCCAAGGGGCTGGGTTCGGGTTGGGGGGTCCCTGTGGCACCCACCTGCGTGTGAGGCGGGCACGGAAGACGGAGGAACGGGGACCGGTCCAGGAGCAGTGGAAGGAGCCGCGGTAGGACTCAGCCTGGCAGGAGACGTTCATCCCTTTCTCACCTGGTGGGGTTAAAGGGTGACAGCTCAGGGGCTGTGCAGGGTCAGGAGTGATGCTCCTTCCCCATATGGCACAGGGGGGGCTGTGCCCACACGGCCAGGCTCCTCCCAGCCCCGCCCCAGCCCTGTCTAGGACATTCCCACAGGCCCAGGGGCTGGGCAAAAACATCTGCAGATGCACGAGCATCTCCTGGTCCTC